AAACAAAAATGTAGACATATAGATGCACAGAATGCTAATTCTCGATTATGTCTCATCAGAAATTTTAATTCAGGGATTGGAACTGGGAAAAATTAAGAAACAAAAGCATCTTTTGGAAACACTGTAGAAATGCATAATCTACATCTTAATTATTTTTTTTTATTATATATTTTGTTTGAGACAGAGTCTTACTCTGTTGCCCAGGCTGGAGAGCAGTAGCACAATCTCAATTGACTGAAACATCTACCTCCTGGGTTCAAGCAATTCTCATGCCTCAGCCTCCCGAGTAGCTGGGATTACAGGCTTGCATCACCACATCTGGCTAATTTTTGTATTTTTAGTAGAGACAGGGTTTCACTATGTTGGCCAGGCTGGTCTCAAACTCCTGGCCTCAAACAGTCCTCCTGCTTTGGCCTCCCAAAGTGCAGGATTACAGGCATGTGCTGCCATGCCCAGCTTTATTTATTCTCATATACATCTCATTCTCAAGGAGTTCCTTCAGCATCCCTGACTGTTCCTTAATTTTGGACCCTCCTTTAGCAAGCTCAAAAAGCCCAATCCCAGGGGAAAGACAGAGAATGGAGCTCAGGACTTAGAGGGTCCCAGAATGTAAGGTTTTATCCCCAAAACCAACTGGGCTCAATACCTTAAGGTATTAGTATATCTACTTTGAAAGGACTGAGAAAGGACTGAGTCAGTCTAGCATAAGTTTAAATCACTTACTCCAGGGAATGTGGTTGCATAGAGCTTCCCAAAAGCTTGCAAGGTATGCATAAGTCACTGGGGGAGGCAGGAGTGATTTCTGTCTCTGCCTGTAGATTTCCTGCAAAGCGGTCCATTTTAAGTTAAAGATATGTGCCAGGGTCTGCACTAAGTGCTTTAGGTTTGTTATCTCATTTACGTATGTATGTATTTAGAGATGGAGCCTCGCTCTTGTGCAGATGGAGTGCAGTGGAGTGCAGTCTCAGCTCACTGCAGCTGCCACCACCCAGGTTCAAATAATTCTCCTGCCTCAGCCTCCCAAGTAGCTGCAATTATAGGCACGCACCACCACGCCAGCTAATTTTTGTCTTTTTAGTAGAGACAGGGTTTCACCATATTGGCCACACTGGTCTCAAGCTCCTGACCTCAGATGATCCACCTGCCTCGGCCTCCCAAAGTGCTGGGGATTACAGGTGCGAGCCACTGCCTGGCCTCAGGTTTGTTATCTCTTTTAAGTCTAAAGAAACCTTATGAGGTAGGTATCACTGTTACATTCATACTGTATTACCAAGGTTTGATGACTTGTCTCAGATCACATACCTGGTAATAGACAATCTATGCTCTTAACCACCATGCTGGATAGCAATCCAGTTGTCACGCTAGTGGCCCAAAAAACCATCCTTGAGGAAGAGACTCCTTCTCTTTTTTCCTCCATTACTACCAGTTACACTGAGACTTGCTCATTTCTTCCTAATCTCTGACCTGTTCCCAGCACAGAGCTGGCCACAAAATAAGTGGGCAACACCTTACTGATTGAGTGATGGACTTGGGTCATTAAGAAACCACTGAGCAGCTCTCCCCCAAAAAAAAAAATGCTGAGGGAAACTAGTTCTTTTGCTGCTTTCTTGATTTGTTGCTACACCCACCACTGGACCTAGTACGATGCCTAGCCTTTATTCATTATTCAATAATTCATGTTCAGCATTGATTCTTTCAACAAACTTGGGTGCTCAGTTCTCTATCTGGGGGGTGTGAATTCATAAATCTTGCCACTATTAATATTAATAATATTAAATAACAATAGTAATAATAAAATCGCTATTAGTAATTAATCATAATAATGGTAAATTTGTGAGATCTTCATTCATAGTAATAATGATTATAATAACAACAAACATTTATTGATGACTTACTGTGCTAGGTGCTATTAGTATTAAAGTGGCTGGTTGCAGTGGCTCACTCCTGTAATCGCAGCACTTTCAGAGGCCAAGGTGGGTGAAGCCCTTGAGCTCAGGAGTTTGAGAACCGCCAGGGCAATATGGCAAACTCTGTCTCCATAAAAAATACAAAGATTAGCCAGGTGTGATAGTCAGGTGTGATAGTAATCAGTCCCAGCTACTCGAGAGGCTGAGGTGGGAGGATCACCTGAGTCCAGGAGGTCAAGGCTGCAGTGAGCTGAGATCATACCACTGCACTCCAGTTGGGGTGACAGAGCGAGAACCTGCCTCAAAAAAAATTTTTTTAAGTATTTTTTCTATCTTGAACACTTCATTTTCTGTGTTTTAGATAAGACGTGACACCATTTAATTCTTACAACAACCCAATAATTCCAAAAATGTCAGTATCTACTTACTCAAGTGAGAGAGCTGAGTGGCCGGCATTTGGGCCATAAATTTCTGAAATAGGATGTTCACTGATCCCTTACAACCGTAAACAGGGCAAGCATGGTCTCTGCTCTGGGAAAATATAAACAGAACCACCTCTGAACCAAAAACATTTCTTGTCCTTTTCCAGGATGATTGTAAGGACTAAGAAACAAATTCTTCATGTTTCCAGGAATTGATGGGTTGGTTGGCTTCCATCATTAAAACTTTGTTTCTTGCTTCATGTTCCATATATATTTAAGCAGCATCCAACTACTTATTGTTCCTAAAAATGCTTCTGCTGTTTTCATTCTCCAGATTATATATTTTTTACCTATCCCAGGTTGTTGTTTCCCCCCCACCCCCACCCCCCACCCCCCACACTGAGTGAACTATTCCTCTTTCTACAGCCAAACTCAAATGTCTTATTAGTGAAGACCTACCTAGCAAACGGGGGGCAGTTATACTTTGTTTTGTTTTGTTTTTTGTTTTTGTTTTTGTTTTTTGGTATAAAAAGAAAGACAGATTGCTTCTTCTTTTGGGCTCAGTAACTTCTTTATTTTCTCTCTCTACTCCCCCACTAGTCTGTGAGCTCCTGATGATGGGGAAGGGCAGGGACTTTGTCATTAGGCTTTCTGGTCCCCAGCTACCAGAACAAGACCTACCATATAAAATTATTGTAGCTAATATTCATTAAACACTGTGCTAATATTCATTAAACAAGTTTAATGAAACACTATTCATTAAGCTTGTTCTCCCAACAAGTTTGTACCATTCTTACCCATCCCAATTTTTACATATGAGGTAAATTCATATATTAAAAAGCTGGCTGGGCTCTGTGGCTCACACCCTGCATGTTAGGAGGCTGAGGCGGGAGGGTTGTTTGAGCCCAGGAGTTTGAAACCAGCCTGGGAAATGTGAGGACTTGTCTCTTAAAAAAAATAAAGTAAAATTAAAACCTTAGAAGCATAACTGGCCCCAAAATTACACTGCTACTCAAGTGGCAGAGCCTGAATTAGAACTCAATAATCAAATAGGCCACCTAAAGCATTTTTCACAGCATATGATGCTTAATAAGGCATATAGTCCATGAATATTAGCAACGGGAATTATTGCTCAGAGTTGTACAGCTAGTAAAGAAAGCAAGCTGAGACTGTAACTCAAGTTTTATGTATTTACTTACTTACTTATTTAGCTCCAGAGTTCACAGTCTTTCCACTACACCAGAAATGAATTAACAGGACCTCTTAAAGAGGTCTAACCATTTAATTTTTTTTTCTTTTTATATAGACAGAATCTCCCTCTGTTGTTCAAGTCAAAGTGCAGTGGCATAATCACAGCTCATGCAGCCTCTGACTCCTAGGTTCAAGCATCCTCCCACCTCAGCTAAGACTACAGATATGTGCCACTGTGCCTGACTAGATATAGATAGATAGATATAGATATAGATATAGATATAGATATAGATATAGATATAGATATAGATATAGATATAGATATAGATATATTGAGAGAGAGAGAAGGGTTTTGCCATGTTGCTCAGGCTAGTCTCAAACTCCTGCCCTCAAGATATCCTCCCATCTCCATCTTCCCAAGTGCTAGGATTACAGACATGAGCCACCACACTCAGCCTCCCTTTACACTTTTTAAATTCTGGGTGTATTTCTAAAAATTCAGAAATATTAAAACCTAAAATCTGATATATTGTTGATGTTTTAGTACATAAAGTTTTCAACTTACAATAAATACAACTGTGTGCATAACCTAATTTAGATGTAAATTCAAAAAATAAGTTTCATACTCTTCCTGAAAGGCTCTTCTAGCTATCTATCTCTGAAATAGGGTCTGTGAATTACAGAAAATTATCTGCTGTCATGGCTGGTTACTGTCTGGCTACCCTGAAGATGGGTACTATATTTCAATTCTGTGATCCCAGCACAATGCCCAGGGTCTAATAATATTCAATGAACATTTCTCGAACGACCATATAGGGCAACCACTTCCGGTCTCAGCGTTCCCTTACACTCAAAATTATTGAGGTTAGTCTGAGTGCAGTGGTGTTTACAACTAACTGATCACAACCACTTACAGATCTTTTTTATTTCTTCTCCGTTCTCACTGCTTCAGTTGGCTAGCCATTAAAAAATAAAAATGGGCCGGGTGCGGTGGCTCATGCCTATAATCCCAGCACTTTGGGAGGCCAAGGAGGACGGATTTCTTCAGTTCAGAAGTTCAAGACCAGCTTGAGTAACATAGTAAAACTCCATCTGTAATAAAAATACAAAAAATTAGCCGGAAATGGTGGCGCGCACCTGAGGTCCCAGCTACTAGGGAGGCTGAGGCAAGAAAATCTCTTGAACTCCGGAAGTTGAGGCTGCAGTGAGTCGAGGCTGTAATTGCGCCATTGCACTCTAGCCTGGGCGACAGACCGAGACTCTGTCTCATAAATAAATAAAGAAGAAAGAAAGAAAGAGTGAAACCAACACCACAGGGATAGACTTCTTTTTGTCCTTTTTTTCCCTCTTGTGCAGAGTAACGCGTAGTCTTGCCATAACCCAAGATGGCAACTTTCTCTCAAATGTCACTCCGTATAACGACGTCATACAGCGACAGTGCCTTTCCTCCCTGAGAATTTCCACTACATTTCCCAGGATGCTTTGCCAATAGCGACACCATTAGTCGTCATAGACGGAAGTGCACCTGACTGAGCGGAAGTAGAAGGTCTCGGAGGCTAAGAAGGTGGAGACCGGAGAAGCTGAAAGGTTGTGAGTAACCCCGTGGGTCTAAGCGTCTTGGCTGCTAGGAACGAAGTTAGGGAATAATCTTCTGGGAAGCGCGAGGCGTCACTTTGCTAATCCTAGGAGTTCAGACTCCTGCGTTCTTCTAGTAGACCTGGGAACAAAGAGAAACAAGACATTGCTGTGGAGGCTAAGTCTCCGTATTAACATCTTGCTGGTTTTTAAGTTTTCTTGGAACAAATTAGGGCGAATTCGGACTCCTATCGTGACACAAGGGTCGTTGGCTTGGTTTCGCTGCCACTAGAGCAATTTACATTTTTGCATATCTCTAGCTGCTGATGGTCTGACTCAGCTTCTACAGCAGTGGCTCGCAATTGGCTGCATATTAGAATCACCTGGGATGCTTAAAAAAAAAAAAAAAAAAACTGATGCTCTTGCTTGACGCCACACTAATAAATCAGAGTCTGGTCAGGTTCTGAGCAGTGGTATTTTCTAAAGCATCTCTAATGATCTTTTTGGCTGCTGAGGTTCACAGTCACTCTTTTTAATGCCTGACTCTGACCCTGATTAGAGTCACCTGCGCCAGGGCTCTCCTTCCACTGTAAGCTGCTTGGGCTCTACCACACGCATTTGGGTTAAAGTGAACACGATTTTGGCACGGATATTATTTTGAGGTTCACTAGAAACGTATTCTTGGGCTTCCTGCGGTGGTGCTAAAAAGACGGATCGTAATTTCTTACTCATGCCTTGGTTATTCATTCTGAATGGAGATTAGATCTGCTTCCTTTTCCTTGTCACTGTTTTAGTTTCTGCCTAATTTTTGCCATCCAAACAGAACGCGAACAGTGGAACATGGAAGAGTCACATTAAAAACGGCTTCTTTTGTTGCTTATAAGAAGTTCAGGGTCAGGCTCGGTGGCTCACGCCTGTAATCCCAGCACTTTGGGAGGCCGAGGCGGGTGGATCACGAGGTCAGGAGTTCAAGACCAGCCTGGCCAAGATAGTGAAACCCTCTCTCTACTAAAACTACAAAAATTAGCCAGGCACGGTGGCAGTTGCCTATAATCCCAACTACTCGGGAGGCAGGAGAATCGCTTGAACCGAGGCAGCAGAGGTTGCAGTGAGCTGAGATCAGGCCACTACACTCCAGCGTGGGTGAGGGAGTGAGACTATGTCTCAAAAAAAAAAAAAAGAAGTTCTGGTACCAGATTTGACCAGGAAAAGGGTGTCAGTTAAAATGACGTTTGACATTATTATTACTTACAATAAGCTATATTTTTAAATAATGAATTCCAGTGAAATGAGGTTAGGATGTTTTTTGGCTGTGATGCAGAGGTTTGTTTAGGTTTGAAACAGAACTTTTAAAAATATGAGCACCATTACATAGCAGGTGTTTTGTTTTGTTTTCCCCCAGCTTTAGCGTTACCTCCCTCACTGGGCAGCATGGGGGAGAAGTCAGAGAACTGTAGGGTTCCAGAGGATCTGTTCAATGGTTTGAAGGTTACAGATACTCAGGAAGCTGAGTGTGCTGGCCCTCCAGTTCCTGATCCCAAAAATCAGCATTCCCAGAGTAAGCCGCTCAGGGATGATGAGGCCCATCTCCAGGAGGACCAGGGAGAAGAGGAGTGTTTTCATGACTGCAGTGCCTCATTTGAGGAGGAGGCAGGAGCAGACAAGGTTGAGAACAAATCTAATGAAGATGTGAATTCCTGTGAACTAGATGAAGAATACCTAATAGAACTGGAAAAAAACATGTCAGATGAAGAGAAACAGGTAAGTATTTTGTTTATTGTGGAAGATCTGCTACTTACACTGCATTTTAAAATAATGTGGTCAGTACTGCATCATAGACCACCTCAGTTGTGGTAAAGAATGACTTGCCCTTTGTCATCTTATTGTTTTAGTAGTGATTCATCTGAGATAAATCAGTAGCATGACAGGGAAGCACTGAGTGTGTCTGCTTAGCAAAGAAATTTTCATTTTTTTCTGTGAACCTTGAGTTCTATGTTCATCTTATACTTCAGGAGTCTGTAACATAATAGTCCTTTTGTTTCATTATTTTCAAAATGTATATATACTTTTTAGGTTTCATTTATGACCTTTTCTGTGGTTGGCTGCTGAAATTTCTGTAATGAACATTTTTATGTTTATACCACATTATATTTATGCTATATTTATGCTTATGAACATTTCCTGTTTATGCTTATCCCTTGTTAGCAAAATGGGACTGCCTGAATATCTTGGTGGAGTTTGGGTTGCAGAGGTCTTGAGGAACATAATTGTGTTTGATTATAGCTAGCTGTTGTTTGTTGAAAGCCTACAATGTGCGATCCACTGACTTAAAATGTTACTTGTGTTTTTGTTGGTTTCCACAACATGCCTATGAGATACACACTTAGCATTTCCCATAAGGAAACAGCTTAGAGTGGTGAAGTAACTAGCCCAAGATCAAACACCTAATGAATTGCAAAACTAATTCTCAAATCAAATCTGTTTGATTCCAAAGCCAGAGTATAATGGAGAATGTAATAACAAAAACATCTGTCTTTCTACAAAGCAGATAAACTAATAAAATGTACAGTCTCCTGCTTCTTTGCTCTGGGGCTACACCCTTAACTGGGCAGGCCTTCACTTTTGGAGACTGAAGTCTGCTGTCCTACTTTCTTTTGCGTGCACAAGCTAGGTAATCTGTGGAGAGTTACTGTAACATCTTGAGTTTGTCTACAAAGAACTTGAACAAGATTGTAGTTTCTGCCACTAACAAGCTTACTCACTGAACAGGTTGTGATGAGTTGAGGTCATAAACGTGCAGCCTAAGCCTAACAGTGGGGGTGGGAAGGTCCTGGGGTGGGAAGGAGCATCCTCTCATTCCTCTCTCCTTGGCACTTTTCGTTATCAAATCAGTTAGCTTTATGTGAACATATTCGCTTTTGTGCTAGTGTGTGCCACCAGAACAGGAGGAAAAAGGGTAAAAATGAGCCAAGTTTATAAACTGCCACAGCAAATACAGCTCAAAAAAATTAAATACTGTTCCACAACATTATAGCGGGTTTCAGTCTTTTTAGAAACACTGATTATGCATCTATGTTAAAAAGTTAGCAATGCTTTTCTGATACCTTAATATATTTTACCCTGAAATCATAACAGATTTTCTAGTGCCCTCTGGATTTAACAGTTGAATGGTTTGGCTCAAGGTGTCACAAAGTCTGATCCCCACCTCTAATTTAGTGAAACTTTTTTTGTTATTTTTGTATTCTAGATCAGAAAATCATACTTTTAAATTCTATAAATATTTTTAGGATTTTTTTTTTTTTTTTTTTTTTTTTTTTTGACAGGATCTCACTCTGTTACCCAGGCTGGATGGGCTCAACTGGGTCACTCTGTCCTAGGCTCAAATGGATCCTCCTACCTCAGCCTCCTGAGTAGCTGGGACAACAGTCATGCGCTACCCTGCCTGGCTAATTTTTGTGTGTTTTTTGGTAGAGGCAGTGTCTCACCACATTGCCCAGGCTGGTCTCCATCTCCTGGGCTCAAGCCGTCCTCCCACTTTGGCCTCCCAAAGTGCTGGGATTACACCATGAACCACCACACCGAGCCAGGATAATTATTTTTATTGCCTGTAAGTTTAATATTCTAGGTAGAACAATACATTTTTTCATTTTTTTCCCTCCTTTTAAAATTTGAGATATCATTTAGTGAAACAGTATGTCAGGTCTAATGTGTAGAATTCAGTGAGTTTTGACAATTATATACACCTGTGTAACTCACATTTCTATGAGGATAGAGAACATTTACCTCATGTCAGAAACTCGAAACTCGATTTGTGTGCTTTATTGGTCATTCCTTTCCCAACCCCACCAGTCTCTGATTAACCACTGTTCTGATTCCTATCTCATAGGTGGCTTTTTCCTGTTCCAGACTTGTATATAAATATAACTATACAGTAGTATTCATATTTAAAAGATAAATATTTTCTATTATTTTATACATATCAGTCTAAGTGTTTTCATAGCTGAATTTGAAAATTTGTATGAATAGCTCATAACAGTAACATACTGCAGTGCTAGTCTTGTTATTTAGAGAAGTGTAAGCCACTAACTCCACTTTAAGGAAACAACCTTTGAGAGTGCACATTGCCTTCAGCTAATTGTGATATTTACTGTATTAGCTGTTTTCATGCTATTTTGATAAATATCTTTCTGAAATTTTTAAGAAGCCAGCAAAACAGATGAAGAAATACCTTCTGCATATATGGTTTGGGTTTAATAGGTCATTAGGAACAGGATAGTTTTACATTTGAATCTTTTTTGAACAGATAAAGTTCAGATAGTTAAACAACAACAAAAAACACAAATAGGCTGGGTGTGGTGGCTCACGCCTGTAATCCCAACACTTTGAGAGGCTGAGGTGGGCAGATCACCCGAGGTTGGGAATTTGAGACCAGCCTGACCAACATAGAGAAAACTCATCTCTACTAAAAATACAAAATTAGCCAGGCGTGGTGGCACATGCCTGTAATCCCAGCTACTTGGGAGGCTGAGGCAGGAGAATTCACTTGAACCCGGGAAGCTGAGGTTGCAGATTGCGCCATTGTACTCCAGCCTGGGTAATAAGAGCAAAACTTCATCTCAGGGAAAAAAAAAAAAAAAAAAAAACACAAATGACCAAAAAATGTAAAAAGACTTTCAGCCTCATTAATAATAATAAATAATACAAACTAAAACGTTATGTCTAATCTGTCAGATCAGAACACTGATCTGATGGTGACAAGGAGAGGATGTTGGAACTCATATATTAATATTGGGAATTTAAATTGTTATGTTACTTCATGGGATGCAGATACCAAATTTTTATATGAACATTTCTTTAGATAGGGCTATCAGTGGGATCTTCTGCTATGATAGGAACGTTCTACATCTGCACCATGCAGTAAGGTAGCTGCTGCTGACTACATCAGGCTATTGAGCACTTAAATGTGGCTATTACAGCTGAAGAACTGAATTTTACATAACTAACTTAAATACTCACACGGGGTGGCTTACACCTGTAATCCCAGCACTTTGGGAGGCTAAGGCGGGCAGTTCACCTGAGGTAAGGAGTTTGAGACCAGTTTGGCCAACATGGTGAAACCCCATCTCTACCAAAAATACAAAATTAGCCAGGCCTGGTGGCGGGAACCTGTAATCCCAGCTACTGGGGAGGTTGAGGCAGGAGAATTGCTTGAAACTGGGAGGTGGAGATTGCAGTAAGCCAAGATCACACCACTGCATTCCAGCCTGACAGACAAGAACAAGACTCCATCTCAGAAAATAAATAAAAAGTCACATGGGCCAGGCACAGTGGCTCATTCCTATATTCCCAGCACTTGGGGGGCTGAGGCTGGAGGATTACTTGAGCCCAGGAGTTTGAGACCAGCCTGGGCAACATAGTGAGACCCTGCCTCTCAAAAAAAAAATTATTATTATTATTTTTTTTTTCTTATTTTTTTATTGCATTTTAGGTTTTGGGGTACATGTGCAGAGCATGCAATACAGTTGCATAGGTACACACATGGCAGCGTGTTCTGTTTGCTTTCACCCCTTCACCCACATTTGGCGTTTCTCCCCAGGCTATCCCTCCCCACCTCTCCCTCCCACTGGCCCTCCCCTTTTCCCCCCAATAGATCCCAGTGTTTAGTACTCCCCTCTCTGTGTCCATGTGTTCTCATTTTTCATCACCCACCTATGAGTGAGAATATGCGGTGTTTCATTTTCTGTTCTTGTGTCAGTTTGCTGAGAATGATGTTCTCCAGATTCATCCATGTCCCTACAAACGACATGAACTCATCATTTCTGATTGCTGCATAATATTCCATGGTGTATATGTGCCACATTTTCCCAATCCAGTCTATCATCAATGGGCATTTGGGTTGATTCCAGGTCTTTGCTATTGTAAACAGTGCTGCAATAAACATTCGTGTGCATGTGTCCTTATAGTAGAATGATTTATAGTCCTTTGGGTATATACCCAGTAATGGGATTGCTGGGTCAAATGGAATTTCTATTTCTAAGGCCTTGAGGAATCGCCACACTGTCTTCCACAATGGTTGGACTAATTTACACTCCCACCAACAGTGTAAAAGTGTTCCTTTTTCTCCACATCCTCTCCAGCATCTGTTGTCTCCAGGTTTTTTAATGATCGCCATTCTAACTGGCGTGAGATGGTATCTCAATGTGGTTTTGATTTGCATCTCTCTGATGACCAGTGGCGATGAGCACTTCTTCATATGACTGTTGGCCTCATATATGTCTTCTTTCGTAAAGTGTTGGTTCATATCCTTTGCCCACTTTTGAATGGGCTTGTTTTTTTCTTGTAAATCTGTTTGAGTTCTTTGTAAATTCTGGATATCAGCCCTTTGTCAGATGAAAAAAAATTATTTTTAATGAAATTTTTTTAAAGCCTTTAAAAAAAAAAAAAACCACATGTTTACAGGCCTATAGCCCTACCACTCAGGAGGCTGAGGCAGGAGGATCCCTGGAGCCTGGGAGTTTGAGGCTGCAGTGAGCCATGATCATGCCTTTGCACTCCAGCCTGTGCAACAGAGTGAGACCTTGTCTCAAAATGAATAAATAAATAATTTTAATTAAAATAGTCATATGTGCCTAATAACTATCATACTGGACATGACAGCATTAACACTGATTCTCTTGTAGTCGTTTATTTCAAGGAAATCATTAGAAATATGCACAAATGTACATACATAGATGTGTTGCAGCATCATTCATAATTTTGGA